CTATTTAAAGGCTACATAAACATTTGATAAACAAATAGCTAAGAACCAGTAAGTGCTAACACACACACACACACACACACACACACACACACACACACAATTTCCATGGAATTTTCCAGCAGAGTTTTGCTTATTTGGTGTGCATAAAGTAGGTAAATTGTTATCAGAACCTAAAACTCCTTGTATATCTCAAAAGACAAGTGTAAGTATTAGTGTGATGGGCAATTCTTGCAGTGAGTTCTGTACCTGAACTAGGAGTGATATAAAGATTTTTAACTTCTGCTGGATGCTCACCTAATTCTTGTTCAGAGTACAGAAGAAAGGATTGCATAAATTTCTGTGGTGAAAAGCATATATTGTAGCACATGCTGGTTTTAAAGTCATCTACTCCCACAGGATTACAAAAATGAGTATATCAGTACAGCCCAGGTCTTCTGAGCTCACCACGGTCTTGGTCTCTACTCAGCATAAGCACTCAAAGCGTAATAGTCCTGCACTTACATGCAAATCTGTGACAAGCAATTGTGCAACACTGCCTATGATTGCATGACATCTCCATAACATACGCAAGCATTTGAGAAACCTGACAAATAGAAGATAATACAAGTTACTGTATCAACACACAGTTTTTAGATGTGATATTCAATATGTATTGTATTACTTTGATACAGACATAAAGTCGCTTGAGAAATACTGAGAAGACTTTAAAATTATCAATCAAAGTATTTCCTTTTCACTAAAACAGTCTCACCATCTTTCAGTGATCTGGTGTAATCAGTGCATGGGATGAGCTCATTCACCTAAGCTGCAGATAACAATCACCAGTGTTGGCAGTGGTTACCGTAGATGTCCTTTATAACTTTTAAAACCAGTTAATAAAATGATCCCATTTCCTTTTTAGTGATAGCAAAAGGAAATGACTGCAAATATATTCTGATTCCAGGCAGAGATTCTGGGGAACAAGTTAATGTTGCACATACATTTAAAGAAATGAGCTGACACATGTGTGGCTGTCCAATCATATCCCAGTCCTGGCTTGACCTTCCTCCAGATGTACAAGGAATCAGAATGCAGACAGTTGATACTAAGAAGCTACACAGAAAGGGACAATTCCAGCTTTCCATATTGACAATGCAGATCGAGCGGAGAGAAACAATTCCCAATGCTTTATATTGCATTTTTAAGAGTTCACTGAAGTGTGTTTTCTTCAGAATTAAAATCTCTGATAAAGGAAGGACTCCAGCGATGCTAAGAAATAAGTGTTTGGTATGATTAATGTAATATATCTCTGATATAATATATTTGATTGCTTTCAGTTTTACCTCATAAAAGACTAAGAAACAAGGTCTTAAAACTAAGAGTATCTCTAGTGGCATGAACATCAGTTAACCTTAACCATAGCCGTAATCAATGACCCTTTCTCAGCTGACATCATGGATGCATTGGGCTTCCCTGCTGGTCTTTCAGCAGGGGACTGCATTGCATTTCACTTGACCTTTCTTTCCAGCCTCACGTGAAAATGAACAATGTCCCCATTCCTCAGAAGCAGCTTTTCTATTTCATCTTTCCACGTTCTTTTTGGCCAGTTTAGAGCAGACCTTCACTGCCTCCGGGTACCACATTGGCTCTAGTATTTGTCAATTAAATCTCATCTTTCATGTAAGATGGGGATAACCTTCACTTTAATGTTAGCTTTGCTATCTCACTCATGTGCTCCAGGACAAACAATAGGCTTTTCTCCCGCTCATGGTCTATTATGCAAGTTTCAAGTGTTCTTTTAGACATGAAATTTCCTCATTGTTTCTCAATCCGATCTGCTGTTGTCTATTCTTTCCTGTGGTCTCTATTATTTTATTATGTGTTATCTATTTCCTTTCTGACTGTTCACAACTAATCTTTTGGATATCAAGTTCAAGTCTTGCCTTCTCTGGAGAGCTATAATCATTTTCCCATTGCTTAATTCTATTTAGTATTCTCTTGAGTTCTTTTCACATCTCAACTACACAATTTAACACGAAATACATAAGTAGAATTTGTATTCTATATGTAGATGTGTCAATGCACATTATGCCCGCTTACAGAAATGTCTATGCTGTTATTATTTCGTGTGAATGGGTTTTGGATTTCCAACTAGGCTACAAGTTTATTATATTCAGTTTCCCTGTGGTGTGATTGATTTTTCAGCTTGTTCCTCTTAGAATCTGCTCACCAATAAATGTGTTTTGATTGATTAATCATTATTTCAACCTTTTTTGCTTTTCAGCTATATGTGTTTTGTTTTTCTTATTAATGTAGAACAAGCAATATTGATGGAATATTAGATAATTGGTTGTAATTGTATACCCCTTACTTTTATGGTGAGTACCCTGGCCTGCTCCATGTACTTTGAACCCAATTAGTGGCATATGAGTAAAGGGATGTGTGCTGCACCTAAGACAGAGGAAAGTCAGGAAAGCGAGTGCTTGACATTCTCTTTTGAAATGAGAAGAGGCTTACCTAGACTAGGATTCTTTGCCAACCTGGGCAATACAACTGGGAGCTGAACAGAAAATAGATCTTCAGGTGACTCACAGATCAGAGCAGAAGCTAGCCCTCATGGTTCAGGAATAGAAATGATTTACTCCTGGAGGTCATCAGTACTTTGGAGTGTTTTTGTTTCTGAAACGACTGACTGATACAGATCATTAGAATATGTCTTCCTCATTTTTCAGAAAAGGAGAAAGGTCTAGCTTTTCTATGGTCACTTAATGGAAGAGCAATGACATAAGTGATGAATGGGTGCTTTGCAGACCCCTGCCTGGAATGTAGGGAAAAGGGACCAGTCAAAGAAACACACCCTGAGCAGAGCCAAAGAAACACACTTTGACCCTGCAACCACAATCAAAGAAATGTACCCTGACCCTAAAACCAGTGCCAAAGGAACACACTTTGTCCCTGGAATCAGAGTCAGTGAAAGAAATGTACCCTGACCCTAAAACCAGTGCCAAAGGAGCACACTTTGTCCCTGGAATCAGAGTCAGTGAAAGAAATGTACCCTGGCCCTAAAATTGGAGGCAAAAGGCTAAAAAGGACCAGAGAAAGAAACACACTTTGGCCCTGAAACCAGAGCCAAATCTGACCCTAATCCTGTGTAAAAAAGTAACCAATCCCGGAGCAGAGCTCTAGCCAATCTGAGCTCAGCACTGAAATTGGACCAATCCCTACTCTGGAAAAACTTCCCCAATCCCTATATAAACCCTGTGTATGTTCAGCTTGGCTGGTCCAGCTGTCTTCCAATAAACCCCTTTGGATGAGCTTCGGGTGAAGATCTTCTTTTGCGGCAGCGACAGAGCAGAGGCGACCCTGGGCAGAGCAGAGCAGAGCGAGCAGAGGCGACCCTGGGCAGAGCAGAGCAGAGCCAGCAGCGCTGTAACACTTGCCCGGGAAACCTTCCTTGGCAGAGCAGAATTGTTACACTCTGCTCCCGGCTCCCTGCTCTCCACTCTCCGCTCTCCAGGAGCAGAGCTGAACTGTAGCAACTTCGCCCGAGAAACCTCCTGCGGAGCAAAACTGCCACACTAGGCGAACATCCCCAGCTGGAAGACCCTGTCCTGCCGGAGTGGAGCTGATACACCGGAGAAGCCTTTCTCTGAGGCAAGGCTGTAAGCTGCCAAGCTTACTGCAACCTGTGGTGGTCCTTGGCTCCCGAGCTCCAGGATACCTTTACATCTGAGCTGTGTAACACTCAGTATCCTTGGCTCCCGAGCTCCAGGATACCTTTACATCTGAGCTGTGTAACACTCAGTATCCTTGGCTCCGAGCTCCAGGATACCTTTACATCTGAGCTGTGTAACACTCAGTATCCTTGGCTCCGAGCTCCAGGATACCTTTACATCTGAGCTGTGTAACACTCAGTATCCTTGGCTCCGAGCTCCAGGATACCTTTACATCTGAGCTGTGTAACACTCAGTATCCTTGGCTCCCGAGCTCCAGGATACCTTTACATCTGAGCTGTGTAACACTCAGTATCCTTGGCTCCCGAGCTCCAGGATACCTTTCCACCTGAGCTGTGTAACACTGAGTATTCTGTGACTCCCGAGTGCCAGAATAACTGACCCACTCCTGTTCCATCCTGTCCTGACCCATCCGGACGAAACGCTTACACTGCCCTCTGAATTTACTCCCCCTTTTCTATCTTTACAATTCAAAGAACCACAACTGAGATTTATGCTTAGTGATTGTTGTCTAAATCCAAGAGCCTTTCTGATCTAGCTCATTATCTTCCAGTGAGCATCAATTAATAAAAGGTACAATTAGTGTCACACAAACCATATCTCTACCTAGAAGATAGTGACCCTCTCTGATGCCAAAGTTTGTCTTGTAAATAAATGAGATGCTGTGACTCTCTATGATAGACATTATTAATCCAAAACTATCACCAAACTTTCTTAAACAATTTCCTGTCATAGAACATTCTGGTTGAAGCTGGATATATTATCTCTATAAGCTTTTCCTTGTGTTCCATGACAAACATCTCATATCAACTTTTATACCAGATGGAGGATTTTTAAAGGTTTTTTTTTACCATTTCCTTCATAAAATTGTGATGAAAATATCCCATATATATATGCAAATTAGTATTCTACTTTGGTCCCAAAGTACACTTTGTTCTTTAATGTTCTTAGAAATAAGTTAATTTCTACAACTCTATGCTGTTCATTTCCTTAATGTAGACAAGCCTGCTTAGCTTCCATCATAATTTGTAGTACATCTACTCTATTTGGCACATAAATTTTGGAGAGTAAAAGAAGTTATATACAACAATACTTTCTTCTTATCTATGGAGAAATAGAGTATGCTTTAGACAAGAAACTTCTTGTAAGACAGCCACTTCTAGGAACTGTTTTCATACAATGCTTTTTATAAGGAAAGGAAAATGTGATGTTCTAGACAGTGTAGCCAAGTACATTTTTAAAGTCTAAATTCCCTCCTTTTTAATTTAGACCAGCTAACAGCCTTACCTTTGTGAAAAGACGTCTCGGTAAGGGCTGCCATGTTGCAGTGCGATGCCATATCCCCGGTCCGCAACAGTATTCCCAACAGTATAGAAGGAACAGTCTGGGTCATTGATAGCCACATATTCCAATACAGCTGCATCCCATACAAAAGCATAGTTTCCATATTTTACCTGTGAAAATAGAGAGGAAGAACAAAATAGGACTTAAGGTTAAAAATTACATAGAATAAAAAATATCACAATAGTATATGTGAAAATTATAGGATATTTATGTGTGTTTGAGTAAACTTGTAGTAGTGTTTATGTTAGTCTATAGCTGTTTACTTCTAGAAATGTGATGAAGGTAGAACTATCCATGCTTCCAGAGAACATGGCTATACTAAGAGGCATGTCTCTGAGCTTGCAGTGAGCCTTGCTATTTAGATTTTTGTTTGAGAAACCCTTAAAAAATCTATGCTTCTAGAATTATTAAGAGATGCTGACCCTCTTAGGTTACTAGACGTCTAAACTAGGTAACTTCTTTACACTCAATAAAGTTTCCTCATGTCCTATGTTTTACATAAAAGCTCACAATTCATACTCTTTCTGCAAGCTTTACTTTCTCTTTTTTTGTCCTCCTGAGTCCATCTCTTTTCAAATACAGGTTGTGAAGTTCTTAAAAGTGGAGTTAAAATAAATCCCTCTTGAATATTTTGTTAACATGTGTCAGAAAATTTGTCTTAGGAATTATTGTTATGTCCTCTCTCTCAAAGAAGTCTTCGTCCCCTAATGGTCATTACAATTCGAGGAAAACAATTCTCGAACCTTCTTTATTAATATGTAGGAACATGAATTCTAACAGTGTCGTTTATGATATATTTTAGTTATTTTTAAAAATTCAACAATACCTCATATGAGAGCCCACTGTTATGGTTTAGATCTGACATGTCTCCCCCAAAGGACAACGTGTAGAAGACTGAGGCTGCGGCTGGTGGTGTAGTTCAGAGGTGGATGGATTATGAGGACATGAACTTCATCAGTAGATTAGTTCAGTGACAGCCTCATAGCTGCATAGACTCTTGGGAGCTGAGCCTAATTCTTGTCAGCAGACTGTCTGCTTTGGAAGATATTTTTTTCTTGTTCCTGGGCCTTTCCTCTTTGTCCCTGCTTCCTGTCACACTGAAGATGAAGTGCTCCCCTAGTCTCTTCATGTTGCTCTGTTATAATGCTCTCTGTCTTACCATACACAGGGCAGAAATAACCAAGCCATGGAACCATGGTCTGAAACTTTTGAAACTGTGATCCTTCTATTCTTAAGTTGTTTTCTCAGATATTAGGTCACAGTGATAAAAAGTAACAAATGCAGAAATTTATCATGACTGTGATTATGAAGGGGCTGTACAGAGGGGCTTCTCTTCCAGAGCATTGTTTCTCAAGTTTTCTGTGAGCCTTTCAAACAGTCCCCATATTGTGGTGACCCCCAACCATAAAATTATTTTTGTTGCTGCTTTCAAACTGTAATTTTTCTACTGTCATGAATCATAATATAAATGTCTGCATTTTCTGGTGGCCTTAGGCAATTCCTATAAAAGTGTCTTTCAAGCCCCAAAGGGGTGATAACCCACAGCTTGAAAACCACTGTTCTGGAAGACCTGGGTTTGATTTCCACATACTAGCTTACAACCTTTTGCAACTCCAATCCTTGGGGCACCGGGTAAGTACATGGTGTACAGACATACATTCAGGCAAAATACTCATAAAATTTAAAAATTTTGAAAAGGAATGAAATAAGCAATTATGGTATACAACTCAGTAAAGTTTATCTGGAAAATATTAAATACAATGATAAAATTCAATGGATTTATACAACAAATTAAACACCAAAGTTAGCTTATTTACATTAAAAGAAGAATGCAGTATTACTAAAATGAAAGGGGCATTGGAGATGGCACAATGACTAAGCTGCTTACTCTGCAAGGAAATGGATCAAAGAATCAGATCTCAGGTAAATTCTGGGAGTATATATATATATATATATATACACACACACACACACACACACACACACATATATATATATATATATATATGTTTTCCTCAAGTGATTTGAGAACTTAATGAAATTCAAGATTTCTTTCCTTCCTTCCTTCCTTCTTTCTTTCTTTTTTGAGCAGGGTTTTACTATGTATCTCTGGCTCTCATGGAATTTACTATGTATACCAGGCTGGCCTTGAACAAACAGAGATCCATCTGCCTCTGCCTCCTGGGAGTTGGGGATTAAAGGCATGACTCACCATGTCTGGTACAATTCCAAAATTAAAAGGGACAGTTTAGGGCCTATAGAGTAACCTGTTGTGCCTTTACAATTTTTGGTTTTTCAATACAATGTTTCTCCTGAAATAATGAATGAATTAAAACTCTCAGGGCAGTTCCCCAGAATACAACCATCACAATCAACAGGGGATTCTTGTATTAGAAATGAAGATGTAAGATCAAATCACAAATTTACTATATTGAATATTGGAAGCTCAAAACCTGGGAACATGCATTTCTGCAACATTGACAGCATATGAATGGCATTCTTTAGATGATGAAACATTAGTGTAAGGGAACATTTTCTACAGATAAAATATAAGAAAAGAAAAGTTACCAGGGAGGTAATCCCAGAGTGCTGATATAGGTGAAAATGAAAATATTTGGCCAAGTTTCTCTTGCATTGAATCTCATGTCTGCAGAACTATTTCATAGTATTTTTTTCTGAACCTTTGTACCAGACATCAAAAGTCTGGTCTACTTCCAGATTCCTCTGTCCAAGTCTATATTTTTTGGTATATATCGGTGACATTGAAACTTTCTCTAGCAATTTATTTTGACGTGTTCTCTTCTGTGCCAATAGCTACTATGCCTTTTAGAACCTCTTTTGGCTTCTTTTGTTTTTTTTTTAAACATTTTTTTTAAATTTTATTTTCCAGTTTAAATTTAGATAAGAATCAAGGTTGCTTCACAAGTCAGTTCCAGGTCCCCCCCCCCGTTATCCCCTCATTTCTCCAGGGAGGGTGAGGCCCTCCATGGGGGTGTGCATAGTGTGTCATTTCATATAGGGCAGGGCCTAGACCCTTCCCCAAGAGTTCAGGGTGAGAGTGCACCTCACATTGTTCTATGGGAGTCCAAAGTCCGTGTGTATACTTGGGATGGGTACTGATCTGCTGCCCAAGGCTCAATAGATTCCCTAGGCCTCTTCACTGACACCTGGGTCAGGGGGTCTTGATCAGTCCCATGCTGGATTCCCAGGCTGATGCCTGGGATTCAAGAGTTAACCTTTGTCTGGTCAGCTGTTTCTGGGGGTTAAACTAGCCCAGTCTTAATCCCTTTGATCATCAGTCCTCCCTCTCTGTTACTGGCTTTCTTGAGTTCTTTTGGTTTTTTGAGACAGGGTTTCTCTGTATTGTTTTGGAGCTGTCCTGGAACTTGCTCTGTAGACCAGGCTGGCCTTGAATTCACAGAGATCCGCCTGCCTCTGCCTCCGAGTGCTGGGTTTAAAGGTGTGCGCCACTAACGCCCGGCAATTTTCTTTTTTAAAGGACATTTTGTATTAGCAGCTGTTTTTTTTTAGGACATTTTGTATTAGCAGCTGAACTGAATGGCATTGATTTATTTATCAGTGTGGGGATTCATTCTGGGTTAAGAAAAGGGTAAGAGTGTATCTGAGTGCTTCCTCTTCATATTTCCCTGATCACATTTGTTATACCTTTTGTGATATCACAATTGTGATAATTGTGACACAGACCACAAGATGATATCTACTGCTGCTGCTGTTTTCCATGTATGAAGCCCAAAGTAGAGATATTAAGATGCTATGGTACACTATTAGAGAAAAATACCATCAATCTCACTCAGCTGTGAACTTTGATAATGACTGGGCTGGCAGGATATGCCCATTTGCGAATAGTGACATGAACGTTTTGGGAGTAACCAACTATTTTCTAATTGGAACTAAGGCCTGTTCCATGAGATGGACCCATTCTCAAAACTGTTATTGGGGCCAAGAACTTGTGATCTTTGGCCCTAAGGGAGATTGTAATACTATTGTTTTGTTAAATGAACATAGTTTAAAAGAGATTTTAATGACTTACTGCTGTGCTCATACAGCAGGGAATCTGTCTTTTTCTTGAAGTAGAGGGCAATTGATACAGACTCCCCACCCCCAAATGGTCAATGTGCAGATGAAAAGAGACTATGCCATGCTCAATCCTGACTGAATGCAGTCATTTTCCCAAGGCTGCAAAGAAGGGGCAAAGACAGTCTAAGAGCCAGAGAGAGGGATGCCTTCAAGTAAACAGTATTCCCTAGACACAGCAGAAGGGGTAACATATAAATTCACAGCAATTATGACAACATGCACAAGACTTGCAGAAGCTCAAACCAGACAAAGTTTGGCATAGAGGCAGGTGTGTGGACACAAAATCCTACCACTTGCCAAAGAGCTTTTGGCATTTGATAGCTTCTGCAAGAAGGAAAGTCATCTTTCGTCAACAATGTGGCCCCTGGTAGGTGATGACAGCCCAGGGAAAGCACCATTTCTAAGAGTAATTGTGACACAAACTGGACTTGATGGGGGAAGAACAAAGAAAATTCAAAGTTGGGTAGGTAGGGAGGATATGGGAAGAATCATGAATATAATGAGTACATCGTATGAAATTTTTGAATGGAAATGTGGGGAGGATCTCAGAGGAATTATCAGAATAGTTGCATGCAACATTATTTTCAAGAAAATATAAATAGAAAAAAGTACTTAAAAATAGGTAGTGTTGTGATTGGTGGACATTGGTATCTATTGATGCTCAGGGCAAAGGTCTTCATCTAAGTTCCTGATGTACAATTAGAATGGGGTAACTCTCAAAGAGGTCTTGATAGATTCTGTTAAGAGAAGCTTTTTCTTTGAGAGGAGCCGTCCCGCCAGCCGCCTGGGCTCTGCCACGCCAGCCTGGTTCTAGAGCCCCGCATCAGTCCCAAATAAACACACAGGAGGCTATATTAATTATAAAGCTGTTGGCCTTGCTTGTCTCTTACTGGCTAGCTCTGCCTTAAGTAATTACCCCATAATTGTTAATCTAAGTACGTCTCTTACCGGAGAATAGTCCCGGGCTTCCTACCCCATGCGGTTACATCTCGAACTCTTGTCTTTCTCCTTC